GGAAAGAAACTTAATTAAAATAGTTATAGGCATTACATGTTATCAAGGAAAGTATAGATATATAGACTAGTGGGACAGAATTGAGAGTCCAAATGTAAATTTTTATGTTTAGGAAGATTATTTTTGACAAAGATACTAAAGCATTTCAATAGGAAAAGCAGTGTTTTCAACAAATGGTTAAGTGGTTCTGGATCAATTGGATATTCACATGCAAAAAGTGAATTTAAGTCTTCAATTTATGGCATGCTAAAATTGAGATATAACTTCACACGCATTAGAATAACTATGATGAGAACGAGAGTAACAAGTGTTGGCAAGCATGTGTTAATGCTGGAATACTCAAGTGTTGCAGGGGGTAATGTTGAGTGGTATTGCCACTTTGAGAAGCAGTTTCATAGTTTCTTAAAATGTTAAAAATTGCCCCAGCTGTGGTTTCACAGGTGGTAGGGGAACTGCTGCTCCGCTCTGGAAGCCATATGGAAAGGCTGTGAGTTTGTGTCCTGGGTTTATCTGAACAGGCAGGGCATGCCTGTGATCCTGGCTGGCTTCAAACCTGTACAAGGATCATGGCATGAAGACCCTGCCAAGGGTATCTTTCTTCCTTTCCCTCTTTTACCCATAATTCTGCTTTTAGATATTTACCCAAGAGAAATGGATACATGCACAAAGACTGTACACAAATGTTCATAGCATTATTCAGACCAACTAGAACTGAAAACAAAATGTTCAGCTGATAAATGAATAAATAAAATGTAGTATATCCACATAATGGAATATTATTTGACAATACAAAGGAATAAAGTACTGATACATACTACAACATGGATGAACCTCAAAAAGCATTAGACTGATCAGAAGAAGGAAGATGGAAAAGGGCACATATTATATGGTTTTGTTTATATGAACTGTCTAGGAAAGGCAAATCTGTACAGAGAATGAAGTATTGGTTACTTGGCACAAGAGGTGGGAAGAGAGGGTGACTGTAGTCAGATAAAAGCTATCTTTTTGTGGTGATGGGGAAAAATCTAAAATTAGATCTTGGTATTTGCGATTTTTAAAAATTAGTCCTAAGAATTGTTGAATTATACGTTTAAAATTGATCTGTTTATGGTATATAAGTTATACATTAGTTGCTGTTCTTAAAATAATAAGTGTAATACAAATCTATATGTGGCTAGTTATAAATTTTTTTTTTTTTTTTTTTTTTTTTAAGAATAATGTGAGAGGGACAGTTTGAGTCCCAGACCTGACGACTTAATATACATGCTGGAAGTGTGTGCGTGCGTGCCCAAAATCCCAAGAGGAGGATGGAGGAGAAGGGATTGTGGTGTAGCCATCCTCCCTGGGGGCAATTTCTCACTTTCTGTCTCTGTGTCTTTTTCTTTGTCTCTCGGGCAAGCACACACATCCTATAGCAAAAATCTCGCCAAAAAAAAAAAGGAATATAAGAGTTAACTGAGAGTTTAAGTTCAGAGATTAGGAGGCAGAGAAAATAACATGTATGGTTATGCTTAGGTGGGAGGCAGCATGGTAGAAAAAGTGAAAATACACCATGTGTACTTAGTACCAGAAACAGCAAAGAGGTAGCAAGAGTAGGATCTGGAGAGGCATGTGGAAGCCTTGTGTTTTTTTTGTTTTTTTTTTTTTGTCATTATCGTAGGATCAATGTGAAGTCTTTGAAGGGGAATTGAGTATGCCTTCCATATTGGAGCTAAATTATTCTTGTGTTCATTTGCTTTCAAAGACATAAAGATCACATGGCCCCATGTTAGAGGGTTTCACTTTCTTTGTGTTTCCTTATCAGATGATTGGCAAACAGTGCTCTGAGCGTGGAATGGTTTCTAATCCCTGAGCTGACATAGCTCTTTTGGTGGTAGGAATGAATTTAAAGATTTTTCCTTTATTTATATTACAAATGATTAATGCTAACATCATGACTACTTCAGCCTAATAAGATTAAAATTGTAGACTTATGTTGACATTCAGTCAGAACTTTTACCTTAATTTATGCAAATTTATTGATCATTGATTATATTCCTTTAAAAAAATCAGTGATTTTTTTAAAGTCTGTTTCAAGAGTAGGGTAGTAGGATATGTGAATATAGAATAGATACTTAACAGGAGTTTTGAAGCCACTTATATCTTCTCTCAGTGAAGATGAGAAGGGAGCTCATTTTTGATTCTCGGGGTATGCAGTAGGGTTGACCCAGAAAGCTTGTTCTTGATGGTATGAGGAATGGTTTAGAGGGTGGGCCTGGTTTGGAGGGAGAGTGGTAGTATTGATTAAGAATAGAGAATACTAGAAGAGATCAAAGACTGAAGAAAATGATAGGCAATTTTTTTTTTTTTGAGAGATTTTCACTGTAAGGGCGCGTGCGCTCGCCAGACAGAGACAGACATAGAGACAGAAAGCGAGAAATCACCCCCCAGGGGGGATGGTCA